GTGAATTTGACCAACTTTTTGGTCATACCAACATCACACTTGAATCCCCATTGAGTTTTGTTCTCAAATGGTCTTGTGACATCATTCAAAATCTTTGAACACTAGGCAAAGAGCTTCAATAATTGAGAAATCTTGGCAGAAGCCACAGAAAAGGATGAATGTGTTGTCAAACGCTTTACGAATGTCTGAACTAAAACCACATGAGATGAATAATGTGTTGTCAAATGTTTTACGAACCAGTTATTCTGATGTTGAACCAATGTTGTGATCATATGGTTTCCATTTTTGATCCAAGATGAAGTTTATCTTCTTCAACTTCAAGATTATAAGATGAGATATGATGAAGATTTCTTTCCACAGAAGGAGAGCTAAAATTTTAACCACAAGAAACTAGTTGAACGACAGGTTGTGGTTAAGCATCTCGACATGATATGGTCCAAGTTGCTGTATTCGAGATTGCATTAAATATGGGGACATGAAAGGAATTGAAATAAATCTTCCTTATGATGTGTTTCAAGAGTCAAATTAGAACAGACTCTACTCCCCTAATTAATCCCTGCTGAGTCAGGCATATCTACATCTACACTCTTCAAAGATGATAGATTCCCTTTTAAAAAATGACAGATTCTCTTTTCAAAGATGAAAGCTTTATCGGATTTCAGCACAACTCCAAGCAAAAAAAAAGTTGGTGTTATCAGACAAAATGGGGCATCAAGGTCATAGTTCTGACTACGACAAGAGTTCCACAAATGAAACAATTCTTCTGAGGCTTTCATGAAGAAGACATAAAGATACAAGTTGATCAGATGGTTCTTCAGAAATGCAAGCTTGATAGCATAAGTTGCTACACTGATATCCAGAGGTGACGCTGGCAATAAATGATGAAGTGGAGGAAATACTCAGTTCACCAATCTGAAATCAAATAACTTAACATTCATGCATCATATTAAGAAATTTGCAAAAATAGATGCATCTTCATTCATTTTATCTATGTTGAATTTTGACAGGAATTTCAAAAATTTTAGCAAAGATTTAAATCCATCATTCGATGAATCAACATTGCCAGAGAAAGTTCATAATGAGAAGAACTCATCAGAAGAAGGAAGAAGAACTTCATAATGAGAAGAATTTGTTCAACCTTTTGCTCAAATCCATCATCTGATGGATCAACTTTTCCAGGAAAAAGTTCATAATGAGAAGAACTCATCTGAAGAAGGAAGAAGAAATTCATAATGAGAAGAATTTGTTCAACCTTTTGCTCAAATCCATAATTTGATGGATCAGCTTTTCCAGAGAAAGTTCATAATGAGTAGAACTCATCTGAAGAAGGAAGAAGAAATTCATAATGAGAAGAATTTGTTCAACCTTTTGCTCAAATCCATCATTTGATGGATCAGCTTTTCCAGAGAAAGTTCATAATGAGATCTGAAGAAGGAAGAAGAAATTCATAATGAGAAGAATTTGTTCAACCTTTTGCTCAAATCCATCATTTGATGGATCAGCTTTTCCAGAGAAAGTTCATAATGAGAAGAACTCATCTGAAGAAGGAAGAAGAAATTCATAATGAGAAGAATTTGTTCAACCTTTTGCTCAAATCCATCATTTGATGGATCAGCTTTTCTAGAAAAAGTTCATAATGAGAAGAACTCATCTGAAGAAGGAAGAAGAAATTCATAATGAGAAGAATTTGTTCAACCTTTTGCTCAAATCCATCATTTGATGGATCAGCTTTTCCAGAGAAAGTTCATAATGAGAAGAACTCATCTGAAGAAGGAAGAAGAAATTCATAATGAGAAGAATTTGTTCAACCTTTTGCTCAAATCCATCATTTGATGGATCAACTTTTCCAGAAAAAGTTCATAATGAGAAGAACTTGTTCAACTTTTTGCTTAAATTAATCACTCAGTGGAACAGCAGTACCAGTTAGAGTTCATAATGAGAAGAACTCATCTAAAGAAGGAAGAAGAAGTTCATAATGAGAAGAACTTGTTCAACTTTTCGCTTGAATTCATCATTCTATGGATCAACATTACCAAGAAGAAGTTTATAATGAGAACTCATCTGAAGAAAGAAGAAGAAGTTCATAATGAGAAGAACTTGTTCAACTTTTCGCTTGAATTCATCATTCGATGGATCAACATTACCAAGAAGAAGTTTATAATGAGAAGAACTCATCTGAAGAAAGAATAAGAAGTTCATAATGAGAAGAACTTGTTCAACTTTTCGCTTGAATTTATCATTCGATGGACCAGCATTGCCAGGGCGAGTTCATAATAAGAAGAACTCATCTGAGGAAGGAATAAGAAGTTCATAATGAGAAGAACTTGTTCAATCTTTTGCATGATTCTATCACAGAAGGAGATAGATCAGCATCAACATTTCCAGATTACATCACATAAGGAGATAAATTGTCATCCCCAGTGGAAAAGTTCATAATTAGAAGAACTAATCCCAAAGAAGAAATTATTCAACATTACCATCATAATCAAGTGAAGTCAAATGGATAAAAAATTTTATTATCTTTTCATCTTTGCCCTATTCTTGTTAACACAAGAATGAGCAAAGAGGGGCAGCTGAAGATACTAATTTTTTTTACCCATTTTATTTATATATTTATTATTATTATTATCATTATTTATTATTAAATTTGTTATTAATATTATTAAATATTACAAAGCCCAATTACAAGAACTCAGGCCCAGTTTGCAAGCCTAAACAATGTGGCCCAGATACAGAAGCCCAACATAAACCCTAAAACCCAACTAGGGTTTCTCATCTCATGCCCCAGCCGCCATTGCTCACAGCCGTTGGATCTAGCCAAAATCCAACGGTCCTGATGCTTCCAGACGAAAACCCTAGGGTATGATACCCTAGGGAAACCACGCGGCGCCGCCTCAGCTATCTCCAAGCTTCCAACCGTCGCTTCACTGCCAAGTGGTCCAATGCCCCACTGTCAACGCCTCCACCGCCATTGTCGACACACCAGTACCACGACGACACCAATAGAAGACTCCAGAAGCACCTCGTTTCTGCCCCACGTTGAAACTCTATGGTGAGTCACCACCATAGTCCGGTGACTCACCTAGGATCACCATTTGAGACCGGTCCGAGAGCCACACCGTCGATGGCTATAAAAACCATCGACCATACCTGCAACAAAAAAAGGAGACAGAGAGAAGAAAAAAAAACACCAACAGAGAAGGAGCAACCAATAGCAAACCCAAAGCAGAGCAAACCCACAACACAGCAACCAAAAACAAAAGAAAAGAAAGGAGAGAAGCTTACCAAGGAAGCCACGACCGCCGGACCTCTCCAAACGTCACCAAAAACCTTCGAAAATCGAAGGTACTTTCTTAGATTTGCTCCGATCGGGAGCTATTTAAGAGAAAAGAACACCGGAACCGTCATTAGGACGGTCCGATCTACGTTTTAGTGTAAAAAAAAATTTTCGACCACCGAAGGCGGTGGCCGGCGGCGGGGTCAATGCCGGTGAACGGCTGTCGGCTGGTGTGCTTCTCTCTGTTTTAGAGAGAAGTGAGAGAGTTTTAAACCCTCTCAGAGAAGAGAGAGAGAGGGAAGAAAAGAAATGAGAGCTGGCCCTTCGGGCCAGTCGATTTCGGGCTTTAAATAGCCCTTCCCGAACGACGTCGTTTCGGGGAGGGCTATTTGTGTAATTAACTAAGGGTTAAATCCCGTCCGTAGTCCCTTAACTTGTAATTCTTACATTTTAGTCACTAAATCAAATTTATAATCCTTTTAATTTGGTCTCTAAATTTTATTTATTTATATTTTAGCCTTTAACCGTAATTATAAATATTTTAGATAAAATACATATTTAGTCCTTTAGTTTTAATAAATAATATTTTAATCCTGAGTATATATTTTTAATTTATTTTAATCTGATATTCGAATTTTATATAATTTTATTTTAGTCACCAAATTAATAAATAAGGAAAATGGTATGTTTAATCCCTATAATTTTAAATAATTAATTATGAATTAGGTATTTAATTTCATTAGATTATAATTTAGTCACTATTTTTAAATATTTTCATTTATTATAAAGTTTTATTGCTTTTAAATATATAGTTCTAATTGTATTTTTATTTATGTTTTAATTTTACTTGTTTACATTTTTAAATATTATTTTTTTAGTCATATAAATATATATACAATAAATAATAATTTATATTTTACATAAATTATTTTTATCATATTTTAATATTTATTTATTTTTCAATATCGAAGAAAAGGGCAGTCTTAATACAACTGGATGTCCTATTCTGGTATTTTAAAATTAAATATTATAAAAATTATAATTTAAATTATTATATTGTTAATATTTATTAATATCAAAGAAAAGAGCTGTCTTAAGGCACCTAGAAGTCCTTTTCTGATATTTCTAAATAAATAAATATTTTACTTATAAATGTATATAAATATTTTTTCATAATTATAATTTTGAAATAATAGGATTATAAATTAAATATCTTTGAATTCTTAAATTTCTAATAATAGAGACAAGTTATAATTAATAAAGTACCAATTTTGGGCGTTGTAGGGGTGCTAATCCTTCCCTAAACGTAACCGACCACAAATCATTTATTTAAAAAGAACGAATTTTTGGTTATAAACGCAGATCAGTTCATCTTTTAACTGATGTTTTCTTAAAACTCGTTTAAAAGATAATTTTTAGGTATTCGACCTACCTGACCTAAAAGGCCGATGGCGACTCCCAAATTATTTTATTTATTCATATCACTTTTCCCGTCAAATAAAAAAATTCATGCCCGGACCAAAACCGGTTACGACACCAACTACAATACAAAATCACTTCAGTTTCCCACTGCCTCCATCTTCTAATTAATAGCCTAGCTGTTAATAGAAACAATTCAATAATTATTAGCATCCCAATAAATACATCTCCAAAACCCCATTTTTAACCTAAATTTGTAATCCCCATTAACTCTATTAAAATCGTAAACTTAAAATTAAGTTATCTTATAGTTCTCAAGCTTTCAAACAGCTCGAGCGTGTAGAAATTGTCTTCATCGGCAAAAAAAAAAACGATCCCGTCGAGCTTATGCCGTTCAATATGTTCCAAAGCGGCATTTCTCTGATGAACAGTTCTCTCCTTCACGCTGCTAGAGTTGAGCGTAGACACCAAGTGCCGATACATAACCCCGGTTTTCCTCAAAATCTCTTCCGTCTCAAGCGACGCAGCTTTCTCATCCACCACCATCCAAACCAACGGCGGCTTCACTAACCTTAAAACGTGCCCTAACCTGTTCAAGAAATACGACTGGAATCCCCGATTACAAGTCGGCGTAATGACGATTAACTGCTTCAACGGCTCGATTAAATCGGCAACTTCCTTTTGTTCCGCCAATCTCGTATTGACGCCCAATGAAACAGAAGAAACATCCTGATAGTCCAATTGGAGGTTGACAGGTGGCGGCTTGAGGTCGGGGAAAGCGAAATCCTTGGTACGGACATCGGTATCCGTGTATCCAAACGGAGCAACTCCGAAAACAAATCCTATTACGAAAAATAAGAGACACCTACAAAAAGACCGCCGCCATCCTTTGCGGTACACTAAATTTACGGCGGTGAACAAAGGCCGTAAATGCGAAGACGAGGAAGAAAAGGGGAAGTGTTTACCACTTCCGTTGGTTAAAAACTTGTTAGCCGGAGAGGAGAACCCGGCGCCGTTCTGGTATGAACGGTCGCGATGTGCTGGCGAGAGAGCTCGGCGGATCGAAGCCATTGGATTAGTAAATTAAAGGAAAATCACATAATTGGATCTTTAAGGTTTGAGTGAAGTTTAAGGGCAGAGCTGGAATTTTGGTTTGAGCGCGGAGGGGGAGAGCTTCGGTGGTGTTTGTTTTTGCAGAGGTAAAAGGTCTGCAGTCTGCGTATTATATCTATAGATATCTGCAGCAGAAGAGGTGGACTAAAAGTCTGCAGTCTACAAGAAGAAGACTGTTTATTTTTAACGTCTACAAACTGCTAAAATGAACTGAAATATAAATAAACTGATTTTTTAAATTTAAAAGAGTTTTACAATACTAAGTTTTAAATAATTTTATTTTACAATACTGAAATTTAAATAATTCATATAACTACAATAATAAATTATTTAAAATAAATCAATATATATTTTAAAATAAATCAATCAAACTTAATAAATTATTTAAAATAAATCAATTCATACAACTACAATAATAAATCAATCCATATTTTAAAATAAATCAATCAATCCATACAAATAAATTATTTAAAATAAATCAATCCATACAACTACAATAATAAATCAATCTATATTTTAAAATAAATCAATCCATACAAATAAATTATTTAAAATAAATCAATCCATACTAATAAATTATTTAAAATAAATCAATCCATATTTTAAAATAAATCAATCCATACTAATAAATTATTTAAAATAAATCAATCCATACTAATAAATTATTTAAAATAAATCAATCCATACAACTACAATAATAAATCAATCCATATTTTAAAATAAATCAATTCATACAAATAAATTATTTAAAATAAATCAATCCATACTAATAAATTATTTAAAATAAATCAATCCATATTTTAAAATAAATCAATCCATACTAATAAATTATTTAAAATAAATCAATTCATACAACTACAATAATAAATCAATCCATATTTTAAAATAAATCAATCCATACAAATAAATTATTTAAAATAAATCAATTCATACTAATAAATTATTTAAAATAAATCAATCCATATTTTAAAATAAATCAATCTATACTAATAAATTATTTAAAATAAATCAATCCATACAACTACGATAATAAATCAATACATATTTGAAAATAAATCAATCCATACAAATAAATTATTTAAAGTAAATCAATCTATACTAATAAATTATTTAAAATAAATCAATCCATATTTTAAAATAAATCAATCCATACTAATAAATTATTTAAAATAAATCAATCCATATTTTAAAATAAATCAATCCATACTAATAAATTATTTAAAATAAATCAATCTATAAAACTACAATAATAAATCAATCCATATTTTAAAATAAATAAATAAATCAATCCATACAAATAAATTATTTAAAATAAATCAATCCATACAACTACAATAATAAATCAATCTATATTTTAAAATAAATAAATCCATACAAATAAATTATTTAAAATAAATCAATCTATATTTTAAAATAAATCAATCCATACTAATAAATTATTTAAAATAAATCAATCCATATTTTAAAATAAATCAATCTATACTAATAAATTATTTAAAATAAATCAATCCATATTTTATAATAATTTATTTTAAAATAAATTATTTTATAATAAATTATTTTATAATAAATTATTTTAAAATAAATTATTTTAAAACAAATTATTTTAAAATAAATAACCTTATTAAATTATTTAAAATTATTTTAATAAATAAATATATTTTATAATTATTCTTGAAGAGGTTTAAAGACCTTTGAAGACATAAAACCAAGTCTGCACCAAGAAGACCTCGGGCAGACGTTTGAAGAACTTCTGTCTTCTAAAAAACAAACAGTCTGCGAAGCCTAATGTCTGCGTGTGGTTTGCGCGACGCAGATATAAGTACTTTGAAGAGCTTGCACAGTAAAAACAAACACCACCTTCGTCTTCGTTTTAGTTTTCACTAATAATTAATGGTAAAGAACAATAATATATTTTATTCACTCTTCAATTATTAAAAATTATAAAATAATTTTTTAATTATAAGAGTTGTTTTGTTGAGTTTCTCGATTATTAAAAGTTACAAAATAGTTATTCGATTATTCATTATATTCTAAACTCGTCTTTTACTATTAAAAATTTAATAATTGTCTGAACTAGACGTTAGTATGCTGATTGAGATATGATAAAATTTGATCTCATAAACTCAAACGACTTTATCATATCTCAGTCAGCATGTTAACGTCTAGCTTAGATGATTGCTAATTTTTAACAACAAAAATACGAGTTTGGAACATATGAATAGTCATGTAATTATTTTGTAATTTTTAAAAGTTGAATGACTTAACAAAAAAAAAATGGTTGTCCCTTGTTCCTATATGTAATGGGGTAAGGGGGATGTCAGATAGTAGGCTGCTCCCAACACTAGGTTGAGAGCAGTTTCCGTAGGAGACCTCCAAATTATGAAATGCCCTCCATGAGACTCAATCCCACGACCTCAAAGTTAAGAACCTTGTGCTCTACCAACTTTCTATAGTTAAAGAATTATTTTGTAATTTTTAATAGTTAAAGTATTCAATAAAATAATATCCTATAATTATATCACTATTTAACATAAACATTAAGTTTAATAAAAAATAATAATCATTTTTTTTCTTTAAGTACCTAAATTATTTTTTTGTCAAACTAAATCCTTAAACTATTATATATAACTATTTTAAGTACCTATAATATTTTTTGGTCAAAATAAGTCCCTAAATTATGGTTTTTTTAACTTTAAATCCCAATTATTTTTTGATCAAATCAAATACCTAATTTTATATAACGTGCAACATTTTATTGGTCAAAAAATATGTTTCTAACTGAAAAATGATAGAACTTAAAATGATTAAATATAATAATTTAAAGAATTAATTTGAAAAAATAATTTAAATCCTTAAAGTAAAAAATATACATATAGTTTAATTACTTACTTTTACTTTAATCCATAAAAATTTTATATTTAAAACTTTAATCCATTTTTCAAAACGACATTATAATCTTGTTTTATATAAAAAGTGCACTTATATTTATTACAATTCAAAAATAAATTAAAGAAATTTCAAATTAAATAGTTATTGTTGTGATGGATTTATTATAGCAGTAATAAACAGAACCGAGTACAGGCGAAGTGCATTAGGGCATCTCTAGTTTTATTATGGGTTGATGTGATATTGTTGTTAATCATTATAATATTTCCAAATAAAATCAATTTATACTGTACTTAACGAGAACAATCTAACTGCCTTCTATTCTTACATGAGTTTAATTAAGGATGTTACTGTTTGTAGACAATTAAGTTTAACTTATGATATGCATATTCTTTATAGATATTTTCATCATTTGCTTCCCTATCCTCTATTATTTTAATTTTGATTTGACTCTTTAAAATTGTTCTACACGTGTTTGTATCTAATATTATTATTCATTTTGAGATAGTTTTTAAAACAATTCTTCTAAACCTTTTTCCTTTAAATTTCTCTGAGTTTTTAGTGAATTCAATACATCTTTTCATGCACAATGGACCTCTTTTCTTTACCTTTAAGAAGTTATTTGTTGTTGTTCAAAAAGGTTTTTTCTTTACTTGGTCTTGGAACTCCACGAAATTCATAGGGTTCCATGTTCTTTTTAAAACATATTTCACATTCTTTTAAGATTTTAGGCGGTCTAAATAGCAAGTAAACGTTCTGCCAATTAGACGGGCTTCCTTATTCTACTTTTAAATTAATCCATGGATCCAAGTAAGATTTTCGGGCCCGAACCATTGCCCTAAAATCTAACGGAGAGTCATTCAGTTACACAATTTAATAGGTTATATTATCATCCATTATTTCTTTTTCACTTTTCATTATTTAACATAAATTTAATGGATGATACATTAATAGGTTATACTACTTTCAAAGCTTGATCCCAAAAAGATCATATGGCTGCAACAGAGGGCCCACGGGATATTTGCAGCTCAATTTCAGCCCATATGTTTTCAGCCCACTCTTATAGCATCTCTATTTTTTACAGGGGTGCTTATCAAGCGAGTCGATCACGAGTTGGAAAGTGCTCGAATCGTTCTCATTAAAAAAATTTGTTGATTGACTCAACTCGTTGCTCGTTAGGCTCATTAAAATTTTACTCGACTTGTTAAAATTATCAAAAGAGTATATGAAACAATTTTTTTTGATAAAAAGGGAGGCATCGTTAAAACCCCCTTTCAAAACCGTCAAGCAACAAGAGTGGCTCAACGGATATTGGAATGAGGAAAAGAGTGCCTCAAAATTTTATTGCATAGATACCAGGTACAAGAAGAGTAAAATACCACCAAACACAACCTAACTACCACCTCAACAATGATCAACGTTAAACTACAGAAACACATCAATGACCAAACTACAGAAACACATCAATGACCAAACCCAACTGAAGAAAACTATATCCTAAAAACAATCAACCAAACACACAATTGACAAATATAACCAAAACTTCCCCAAATACAACAAACTCAATGCAACAAATATATCCCAAACAATTAGCCTATCCCTAACTTAGCAAATTCATCCGCTTCCCAGTTAGCTGCTGTGAACACATTCCTAACAATAACACCTTTATCAACTACAATCGAGGCATTATCTTTAACTATGGAAAAGAACAACGGGGTGGTTGCAGTAGGATTCTTGATCCATTCCACAGCCACAACACTATCGGATTCTAAAATAGGCCTTCGATTCACCGACAACCCCGTGTCATAACATCTCCCTTGGTGGATTCGTTAGAATTAAAAAATTAATTCGGGTAAGGCGATGAAATATAATTTTGAAAACAATTTGATTTTGGAGTCACCACCAACCTTTAAGTTAGGTAGGTTGGAAACCTTAAAGATCATTTTAATGAGTTCAAAAAAATCATTAAAAGACGAGAAAATTGTATGCATTTTACCAAAAATTTATTTTTAAGAGTTCGAGAGTCGATTACCTGTGGGGAAGGGTGAGCATCCCCATAATGCCCAAGTTTTGGTACCTAAACGATTGTACGATGTTTAAATATTGG